GGAGGAGGAGGAGGAGGAGGAGGAGGAGGAGGAGGAGGAGGAGGAGGTGAGCCCCTACTGGGGTGCTCCCGAGGGTCTTCCGAACTTTGTTGAAGCCCTTTCGTGCCCAGACCTCCTCGCGTCGTGAAAAAATCACGACGGAAGGTTTTTCTCTATTTTCGGCCTCCGGGGGCCCTTACTGGGCCTCGGGAGCGTCAAAAACGACTCAGGATGAAAAACTGGTCCCGGGGAAGGGGTCCAGACCTCTGGTGGTCGACGTTGTGAAAAAATCACGACGTCGGGGGTCTGGGACTGGGGTGCTCCCGATGGTCTCCCGAACTTTTTTGAAGTCCTTTCGTGCCCACCTGGAACCATTTTGATATGAGATTTCAAAATCCCACGTGAAGGGTAAAGGCGAGGAAGCCGGCATCACCGACGCACACGACGTTTTGCCCGTTGGCGTCCTGGGGGCTGTCTTGGACCATTCTAGGCCACCTCGGGGCCATCTTGGGGCCTTTTTGGTGGCTGCCTTGTGGGCATCTTGGGGCCGTGTGGGGGCCATCGGGACCATCTTGGGGCTTGCAACCCCCTGATGCCGGCCGGCTCTTGGGCCGCCTTGGGGTCGTCTTCGGGCCCGCTTGGAGCTGTCTTGGGCCCCTACTGGGACGCTCTTGGGGTCTTCCGAACTCTCTTGAAGCCCTTTCATGCCCACCTGGAGCCATTTTGAGATTTTAAGATCCCACAAGGAGCGACAAGGCGAGAAAGCCAGAGTCATCGAACAATGATTTCTGAAGCGCGTGAAGTTTTCGCAGGTCTTGGGCCCGGAAGCGTCCTGGGGGCTGTCTTGGACCATCCTGGCCCACCTCGTGGATATCTTTGGGCCTCCTGGGTTGCTGTCTTGGGGGCGCACTTGGGGAGCCACCCGTTGATCCGCTCTCGTGGGCCGCTCTTGGGCCCCCCTTGGAGGTTCGCCGGGGCGACCCCCGAACTGTGCTGAGGGTCCTGAGGGCTGCGCCCGTGAGCATAGCCATCTCTGGCCCGGCTTGACCTGGAGTTGCCCCCAGCGGTCCTCCTCCTCGTCCTCCTCCTCCTCCTCCTCCTCCTCCTCCTCCTCCTCCTCGCTCCTCCTCGCTCCTCCTCGCTCCTCCCTCCTCCTCCTCCTCCTCCTCCTCTTCCTCCTCCTCCTCTCCTCCTCCTCCTCCTCCTCCTCGTTCCTCCTCGCTCCTCCTCCTCTTTTTCGCAACGTCGACCCCCAGAGGTCTGGACCCTTTCCCCGGGGCCGGGTTTGCCGCCCGACTTAAGCGCAGACCCGATTTAAAAACTACCGCTCAGCTTTCAATCGCATCGAATCCGGTTGCATCCGTTTCCGAGCAATGCCAGTCTTTGACGCCTGGCATAGATCTACCAGCCAATCCAGCAACGATGCCCAGGTGAATTGCATTGATCGGGGAAGTGTGGAAGCAGCAGTTGAACAAAAATGGGGGAGGTGCAGCTGTCGAACCGAAGATCGGGATGGGCATCTTGGCAGCCTACTTAAGACTTTTTGGGACCTTCTTGGAGCCATTATGAATGCCTGTGGGGCTCGTTTTGGGTCCTCTGGTGGCCCTCTGCCATCCTGGAAGCAATCGATTACAACATAGGGCGGCGCGTTTGTCAGTCCCCCCGTCGGAAGCCGGAAACCTCAAAGTCGTCTGGGCGATGTTGGAGCCGTCTGTATGCGTCAGATGCCCATCGGAAGCCAGATGGCAAGAATAACAAAAGTCAACGTTGCTCTTCAGATTTTGGAAGGATTTTGGCCGCTCGGGGGCGTCCTTGGGAGTCTTGGTGGCAACTTGGAGCCGTCTAGGGGCGGTCGTGGAGCCTCTTGGAGGAATGTTATAAGACGTCTTGAGCTATGTGAGGCCCTCCTGGGCCAGACTGAGCCATCCTAGACGCTCTAACGCCTCGCGACCGTGCCTGTCCAGACCTCGGGAGAGGAGGTAGGGGGAGAGGTGAACCTTACCCCGAATGGGAAGGAGCTTGGGCTGAGCTGCAGTCCGGATGCTGACAGAAGGACCATTTCGGGCTCAGGAGCGGCCCTGGATTTCGAGCAAAACCTTAGACGTAGGTTGGGGAACCTCCCTCGTGGCCGGGGCTCGCCGTAGCCAGAACGGCCCCTTCGTTCCTTACCCAGCGTTCTTTATGGTAGCACGGCGACCGTATGTCGCTAAGCCACCTACGCCCAGAGGGCTGGTGGGATTCTATCGATCTCTGAGCTGCTGGCGATAAGGAAAATCTGCGCCGTGTGACCCCACATCAAATTTAGTGCCTGGGAACTCGGTGCCTTGTCTGCAGGCCGGTATCAGTATCCAAGACGACTCGAACGACTCAGAACAAAGGCGGTGTTCGAGTTAGAGAAATTACGAACGCCGATCTCGAGATTCTCGACCCAAGGGATAAATGCGCTGTGTGATCCTGCGTCGATCTCAATGGTTGAGAGCACTGTTGTTTACCCACAGCTCGAGATGGAATCGAACGCTTCGCCCGCAATATAAGTTTAACGACTTATATTGTATGTGTTTTGCAGTGCGTGCAAGTATGATGCACCAATGTATGGGGCGACTCGTGCCTCACAGCCAGGCCGATTCCATTTCGAGAACGTCAGCCCGGAGTGCAGCTCCTAATAGCAGATGAAGCAGCACTGTTCTAGGAAGTTCTATCAATGCCGTGTGTGATGCGGTGTGTGATGATGCTTCCAACTCAATGCCTGTAGATTGCCCACAGCTCAAGATCTGGTCGAACAACTACCGGTTGTAATGCAACTCGGCCAACCATCATGTATCGATAAGTTCGGATCTGAATTCTGTGCTTGAGAGTTCTGTCACTGCGCCCCGTGGTTCTGAAAACGAGTTATTATATGGGAAGTATGCCGATGTGTTCGTCATCCTGCATCGTTTTGAGCACGTGAGTCGAGACCAAGGCACAAGCCCACCCTTGCAACTCAACAAGGTTCGAGCCGCACTCAGTATTTCAGATCGATCGCAAGGCCTTGCGTATTTTTCTGCACTGTGTTCAGTGCCTGGGAGATATGCACAGTGTCCGCAACTCGAGACTGTGTCGAGAAGCGGCTGCGCATGTTGCGACTCTAACGGTTCAGGGCATACCGGTTTTCGGGCCGTATCAGTGATTATGGGCCGATCCGATCCAGGGATGTGAGCCTTCCAAGTCGGCGCGCAGTTCATTGCCTGATCGAGCCTGCGCGTCCACAGCTCATGTCTGGGAGCCCGTTGTGGGTAGCCTGGCCGCCGAAGACGGCGGCACACGACGCAGCCAGGCCGCTGAACAGTACTACAACGCAGTGTGCTACGATGCGATGCGGCGCAGTGCCATGCCATGACCGTAGACGCGCTAACGGTGTGTTAGCTAACAGCGAGGTAGGACAACCAGCTGTAGGAAGGCGTGGTTCGTGGCCAGACCAAGTGTGGGAACGCCTGGTTCGTGCTTTCCTACAACTCGCTGTGCTTTCGTTTTCGTTCGCTACACTCGTATGTTTGGACACGGTGTTCCGTGAGTTGTCCTACAGTTTGTTCTGTTCCAGATTCCCAACCGCACCGTTTACCAAGCGCGCCGCCAGCGCGGCCTTGGCATGACATGGCGCTCGCTGATGTCGTAGGCGCTGCGCGCTGCCACCGAGGCCCCAGGCCCCCGACGTCGTGATTTCTTCGCTTCGTGACCTCGACCCCCAGAGGTCTGGACCCTTTCCCCGGGACCGGCTTTTCATCCCGAGCCGTTCTTTGACGGTCCCGCGGCCCGGCGAGGACCTCCGGAGGGCGAAGATAGCGAAAAACTTGCCGTCGTGATCTTTTCACGACGCGAGGGGGTCTGGGCACGCGAGGACCTCCAGAGGGCGAAAATAGCGAAAAGCCTGCCGCCGTGAAATTTTTCCCGACGCGAAGGGGGTGATGCTGATGCTGATGCTGTTGCTGATGCGGAGGAGGAGGAGGAGGAGGAGGAGGAGGAGGAGGAGGAGGAGGAGGAGGAGGAGGAGGAGGAGAGGAGGAGGAGGAGAGGAGGAGGAGGAGGAGGAGGCGGAGGAGGAGGAGGAGAAGAGGAGGGGAGGAGGAGGAGGAGGAGGGAGGAGGGGAGGAGGAGGAGGAGGAGGAGGAGGAGGAGGAGGAGGAGGAGGAGGAGGAGGAGAGGAGGAGGGGGAGGAGGAGGAGGAGGAGGAGGAGGAGGAGGAGGAGGAGGAGGAGGAGGAGGAGGAGGAAGGAGGAGGAGGAGGAGGAGGAGGAGGAGAGCCTTCGAGGCGGGGGCCCGCGGCCCGCGCCTTGAGCGGCCTCGAGGCCGGGCCACCCGCAGCGGGCCCGGCGGGGGCCCGACGGGGGGGAGCCCGCGCGTGGATCGGCGAGAGGCCGGCGGCGGGCCCGGGAGGGTGCCTCCTCTCCCTCCTTCCTCCTCCTCCTCCTCCTCCTCTCCTCCTTCTCCCTCCTCCTCTCCTCCTCCTCCCACTTCTCCTCCTCCTCCTCCTCCTCCTCCTCCCACTTCTCCTCCTCCTTCTCCTCCTCCTCCTCCTCCTCCTCCGCCTCCCACTCCTCTAATGATAGCACGGATCCGAATCATGATGATACGATGAACAATAGTAATCATAAGGGTAAGACGGATAATAATGATGATGATAATGATGCTGGTGCCGCGGCGGCTTCCGATCGGAGATCCCACGATCTCGGGAACGCGGGTCGGCTTAAGCTGAGCCTGGCGCAGCGAGGGCGGAGCTCTGCGGTCGGCCCCACAGATTCGGGGTGGTCTGAGGCGAGCATGGGTTCATGAATCCATGGATTCACGGGGCAGCGTGGATGCTTGAACTTGAGAATGCATGGATTGACGAATCCTTGAATCTGTGAGTCCGTGGACTTGAAGAGTTCTTAGCGATCTCGCGTATCGATTCCAGAATGCATGAATTTGTGGGTTTCGCGTAGATCTGATATTTAAGGGCTCAGGCATTGTAGCAAGTGTGCGCGCTCTTGCATGAAAGAGAAGGCTCAATGCAGTGCTTGCAGACTGAGGCGGGCCGTGTTGCCGTTGCTGGGAGTGGGTTTCTCGTTGACGGCTACGATTTGTCGATAATTGGTGCAGTGCAGAATGTCATTAAAGTTGTATATGTCTGCCAAGGCAGTGCTCCTTGCCAATCAGACAAAATTTCCGCAGCGGACTTCCAGAATCTCACCGGAGCAGTCAATTCGGCAGCGTTGGTCGGCTCGATCTTTGGGCAGCTCATCATTGGTGTCCTAGCGGATCGCCTCGGCCGCAGGCTGATTTTTATCATTACTGGCGTTTTGCTGGTGGTCGGATCGTGCTTATCCGCGCTTGCGCAGTCTGACCTCATATCCGATGCAGGGCCTCAGCAACTCCTCTATCAGATCGCTTTGGCACGATTCGTCGTTGGCTTTGGGATCGGGGGTGAGTTCCCACTCACTGGCTCCATCGCTGCCGAGGGTAGCAGCGCAAAGCGTCGCACTGTGCTTATGAGCCTCGTCTACACATCCGCTTGCGTGGGGATTCTGCTTTGCCCAATGTTGATGCTCCTCCTCTATGCGCTGGGCTGCCCCCTCTGGCTTTTATGGCGCTTGGGCCTGGCATTTGGTGGGGTGATGCCCCTTGCCTCTCTCTACTTCCGCTGGAAGATGCATGAGAGCGATGACTACCGGAAGGTAGAGCAGCAACGAGCACAGTGCAATCCGAAGGTCATGCTGGCGCCCACTGTGGGCCTCTACAAGTGGCATCTCCTCGGGACGGCATCCAACTGGTTCTTGTTCAACGCCATCTACTACAGCACTTTCCTGTTCCAGGGGCAGATCATGGCGGCAGCATCTTTCGGCCCAGAGGGTCTGGCAGGAACCTTTGAGAAGACCCTCGTGAGCGGGGTGCTCGTGTTTGTTGGCGGCTGCGCCGGGATCTTATCTGTGCATTTTATCGAAGATGCCCACGGCGAATCGCCGCTGCTCCCGGCCTCTTGGGAAGCGCCTCTCGGGCTAAGCTTTGGGCCCCAGCTTGGCCAAGCTATCGGACTGTGTGTTCCCCCAGCCGCTCTGGAAACTCTTGGGGGAGCACCTGGGGGAGGATGAGAGAGAGGATCAGGAGAGGGAGGAAGAGCAGGAGGAGGAGGAGGAGGAGGAGGAGGAGGAGGAGGAAGAGGAGGAGTAGAAGGAGGCCTCTAGGGAGCCTCTTGAGGCACTCTTGGGGCCTCCTGGGAGTTTGGAGGCTTCTTGGAGGCGTCTTCGGGGCCTCCTTGGGCCTCTTGGAGGCCTTTGAGGCTTTCTTGAGGCCTCTTTGGCTGTCTTAGGGCGTTCCTGGCCCCTCTGTCGCCGTCGGTTTGCCGTCTTCGGGGCCTCTCTGAACCGACATGGAGCCCTCTTGGGGTGCTTCATGGCTGTCTTGGGGGCCATCTTGGGCCTCTTGGAGGCCTCTTGGGCCGTCTGGGGGCCCTCTTGGGGCCGTCTTGGGGGGCCCTTGGGCCGTCACAGGGTCATCTTGCAGGCTTCTTGGGCGAGCTTCGGGAGATTTTGGGGCGATCTTGGGGGCCTCTTGGGCCGTCGCGGGCCGTCGGAAAGCCGAAAAGTAGCCAATGCCAAATCTTTCAAACAATCTGAGGGCAATCTATGATGTTTGCCTCTTCAGGCCTTCCTGGAGGCCTCTCGGGGGCGTCTTGGAGGCCTCTTGGGGACGTCTTGGGCCATCGTGAGGCCAGCTTGGGCCGTCTTGGTGGGTTCTTGGGATACTTGGAGGCATCTTGGACCCTCTTAGGCCATCTTGGAGGCCATCTTGGACCATCTTGGGCGCTGTGGGAGGCCATCTTGGGCCATCCTGGTCACCGCCGCTCCCCCTGCCTTTTGGAATCGCCCATGTGGCCGAGCGTTGTGGCAAGAAGTCTGCCAAGCTATCGGACCATGTGTTGCCCCAGGCCGTTGGAGAAACCCTTCGCGGAACACTTGGGGGAGGATGGCGGGGAAGATCAGGAGGAGAAGGAGGAGGGGGCCATCTTGGGAGCCTCTGGGGGTACTCTTGGGGCCTCCCGGGAGCTTCCTGGGAGCCTCTTGGAGGCATCTTGTGGGCCTTTGGGGGCTTCTCGGGGACCCCTTTGGCAGTCTTAGGGCTCCCGGGCCGTCTTGGAGGCCATCTAGGGCGTCTTGGAGGCTTCATAGGCCGTCTCGGGGCCCTCCTGCGACAGTCTTGGGGGCCTCTTGGGCCGTTCTGGGGCTATCTTGGAGGCCTCTGTGGCGATCCTGGGGTGATCTTTGGGGGCCTCTTGGGCCGTCGCGGGCCGTCGGAAGACCGAAACTAAGCAAGTGCCAAATTCCTTGAACACCAGAGGAAAATCAATGATTTTGGCCTCTTCGGGCCTTCCTGGAGGCTTTCTTGGGGGCCTCTTGGGCCGTCTCGGAGACCTCTTGGGGGCCTCTTGGGCCTCCTTGGGCCGTCTTCGAGCCATCCTGGGCCGTATTGATGGCCTCCTGGCCCGTCTGACGCCGTCGCCAGCCGTCTTGAGGGCCTCTCTGGGCCGACTTGAGGCCCTCTTGGGGTGCTCCAGGGCCGTCTTGGAGGCCATCTGGGGCGTCTTGGAGGTCTCTTGTGCTCTCCTGGGGTCGTCTTGGGTGCCCCTTGTGCCGTTCTGGGGCCATCTTGGATGCCTCTTGGGCGATCTTGGGGCGATCTTTGGGGGCTCTTGGGCTGTCTCGGGCCGTCGGAAGACCGAACATAAGCAAATGCTAAAATCTTTTAGACACTGGCGGAAAATCAATGGTTTTGGCCTTTTCGGGCCTTCCTGGAGGCCCTCTGGGAGGCCTCTTGGGCCGTCTCGGAGACCAATTGGGGGCCTCTTGGGCCTCCTTGGGCCATCTTCGAGCCATCTTGGGCCGTCTTGATGGCCTCCTGGCCCGTCTGACGCCGTCGCCAGCCGTCTTGAGGGCCTCTCTGGGCCGACTTGGGGCCTTCTTGGGGTGCTCCAGGGCCGTCTTGAAGGCCATCTGGGGCGTCTTGGAGGCCTCTTTGGCCCTCCTGGGGTCGTCTTGGGTGCCCCTTGTGCCGTTCTGGGGCCATCTTGGATGCCTCTTGGGCGATCTTGGGGCGATCTTTGGGGGCTCTTGGGCTGTCTTGGAGACCTGTTGGGGGCCTCTTGGGCCTCCTTGGGCCATTTTCGAGCAATCTTGGGCCGTCTTGATGGCCTCCTGGCCCGTCTGACGCCGTCGCTAGCCATCTCGAGGGCCTCTCTGGGCCGACTTGGGGCCTTCTTGGCAGGGCCGTCTTGGAAGCCATCTGGGGCGTCTGGGAGGTCTCTTGGGCCTTCTTGGGGCCCCCTCTTTGGGCAGTCTTCGGGGCTCTTGGGCCGTTCTGGGGCCATCTTGGAGGCCTCTTGGGCGATCCTGGGGTGATCTTTGGGGGCCTCTTGGGCCGTCGCGGGCCGTCGGAAGACCGAAAATAAGCAAGTGCCAAATTCCTTAAACACCGGAGGAAAATCAATGATTTTGACCTCGTCGGGCCTCCTGGAGGCTTTCTTGGGGGCCCCTTGGGCCGTCTCGGAGACCTCTTCGGGGCCTCTTGGGCCATCTTGAGGCCATGTTGGGCCGTCCTGGAGGCTTCTTGGTCAGACTTGGAGACATCTTGGATTCTCTTGGGCCGTCTTGGAGGCCATCTTGGACCATTTTGGGCGAACTCGGAGGCCCTCTTAGGCCATCTTGGCCGTCTTGGAGGCCATCTTGGGCGTCTTAGGGGATTTTTTGCGGACGTTGTGCTCGCTTGTGGTCCCTTCCGGGTGGCCGACAGGACGGGCCGAAGCCCCACGGGAGTGTTTTTTTTTATAATTTTATTTTTTCAAAAAATAGAAAAAGAAGCAACAACACACCAATAGGATCTAGCACGCCGGGCACCCTTGTGGCAAGAACACAGGGGACGGCGGATCTAGTGGCCTTCGGCCCATCCCGCGACCGTGCCTGGTCTATGGGTCAGAGTTCTCAGGGATGCTTCTTCGGGTCTCTTCGGGGTGCTCTCGGGGGCCTCTTGAGAGCCTCTTGGGGGCCTCTTGGGAGCCTCTTTGGGGCCTCTTTGGAGCTTCTGAGGGCTACATGGAGAGCCTCTTGGGGCCTCTTGGGTTCTAGGGGGCCCTCGGGGCCGAGGGGGGCTCGAAATGTCCGTTCGGGTTCCCCATCTAAGCCTCCTCTTGGGGCCGCTGGGCACTAGTGGGCCGTCATGGGCGCCTCTTGGGCCGTCTTGGGGCCCTCTTGGGCTGTCTTGGGGCCCTCTAGGGGGCCTCTGGGTCCGTCTTGTGGCGATCTTGGGGGCCTTGTCGGCCGTCTTGGAGCGTCGGAAAACCGAAAAGGCGAGAAGGCCAACAATCGTCAAAAACCTAAGGAAAATCAATGATGTTTGCCTCTTGGGGCCCTCTTGGGACGCCTCTTGGAACACTCTTGGAACGTCTTCGGGGCCGCTTGGGCTGTGCTGAGGCCATCTTGAAATATTGTTGCACTCGTGGGCCTTCTCGGAGGCATCTTCGGCCCTCTTGGGCGCTTTTTGGGCCCATGGTTGGCCGGCTGCGCGACTGGAGGCCGAGCGCGACACGCCCGAGTCCTGGGAAATCCTGGGGGGTCCTGGGGAATCTCCAGACCTCTTCGGAAATCTGTATGAAATCGGAGGCCCTGGCCCTCAAAACCTTTCTCAAACCCTGCAACTCTGAACTTCTCAAGGCTGCATGAGCCTTGGGGCACTCCGCTATGTGCTGCAGGCACGGTGGCGGATCACCCTGAAGCAGATGCAACTGCAGTCATGGTTGGCGCTAATTCCTGTTTACGCATTGTGTGCTGTTGGCTACTCTGCTATGCTTCGCAACGTTCCTGCACTGCTAGTGGTTATCTACTCGGCGACTTTCTTCTTCCTTATTTGTGGGCCAGGGATGTCTACGTACATAATACCAGCTGAGATCTATCCATCCCAGGCCAAAGGCACCCTGGTTGGGATCTCCGCAGCTTGCGGCAAGCTCGGAGCATGGCTGTTCGTGATTCTGACCAGCTTCCTGGACTTGGACGCGACGCCTGGGAGAACCTCGCTGTTTGCCATGTGCGCGGTAGTGTCTGCTGTTGGAGCCCTGGCAACGCTCTTCTTCACACCAAGGTTCAGGAGGGGAAAAAACACACAGACACAATTAATCGTCGATTCCCAGGAAAATATGGGAAAATACGGGAAGTGGTGGGGGAGACAAAAACCCAGAAAATATGCGGAAATATGGGGAATCCTTTTATTTGTGTGTATTTATTTGTGTGTCCTTGGGCCCCCTGAAAGGTATGATGACAAAGATTTGGCACGTGTCCTGCCGGCCGAGACGGTGGGCTTTGTCCCCTTGGGGTGGCAGCGGGCACGCCGGCAGAGGAAGCTGGACGAGTGCTCGAGCAGGAGCGACACCGAGACAGATCGGGGGAACGCAAGACCCGAGTAAGCCGGAACTCGGGTCTGCCGACGTTTTTTTACGAGCGCGTCCTGGATTTTGACGGTCCAGTTTTCGTGGGATGTCTGCAGCGGGAGCTCGCGTCAAATTTCAGATTGGGCCTCGTCATTTTTATGATGGCCCCGTCGGGCCAACCCGTGTCCCCCGTACCCGAGTCTTACGTCTCCCCGAACAGAGTCCAGCTCGACGGAGTCGAGCGGAACATGACTGCCCACTGCTGGGCATGTGCGGGTGTTGTCAGTGGTGAGAGCCTCGGGGGGTCTTGGGGAGGACCTGGGCGAGGTATCCAAGAAAACAATGCACATCATGCGGCACGATATCGCGGCAAGATGCGACTTGGAGCTGTCCTGGGGCCGTCTTTGGGTACTTGGGGCGCTCTTCGGGCCATCATAGGGCCGTCGCGGGCCAGTTTTTGGCAAGTTGGAATGATCTCGCTGGGTTGAAGGCTGAAGCTGTCGAGATGCTAGGAGTTGTTTGGATTTGGGGGTGCCCTGGGGGGAGGACCTTCGTCGTTCTCAGCATACCTCGGCGAGCTATCCGGCTGCCTGCAGCCAGTCCCGTCACCGTGCCAGCCCCGCACTTTGGATGGCAACTGTTCGGGAGGCGCACAGGAGGCCGTTACACTGCTTTCTTTCGTTCTTCCTTGAGCCATTTTGGTCCGTCTTGGCGCTCTCTTGAGCCGTCTTGGGGCTCTCTTGGGCCGTCCAGGGGCTCTCGTAGGGCTGTCTTTGAGGCCGTCTTGGGCCGTCGAGTGGCTCTCTGAGGCCGTCCTTGGGTCCTGCGGGGGGGCCCTCTGTGGGCAATCAGGGCGCCCTCTTGGGCCTTCTTGGGGCCCCTCGCGGAGGCACCTGGGGCCGTCCGGAGAGACGGCGCGCACGCCGTTCAGCCACCAGAGGGGGGATCACAGAGCTCGGCTGCTTCTGGCCCTGCGGAGGGTCCTGTTGGGGCCCCGCTAGGCCCCAGACCTCCGACGTCGTGCTTTTTTCGCAGCGTCGACCCCCAGAGGTCTGGACCCTTTCCCCGGGACCGGTTTCTCATGCCGAGTCGTTTTTGAACGCTCCCGAGGCCTGGCAAGGGCCCCCGGGGGCCGAAGATAGCGAAAGGCCTCCCGTCGTGTTTTTTTTCACGACGCCGGGAGGTCTGGGGCCGTCTGGAGGGCCTCTGGGGCCGCCTTGAGGCCATCCTCGGCCCTCGTCTGGCCCTTCTGGGCCTCCTGCGGGGTGCCTTTTCGTGCAGTCCCCGGCGGCCTCGGTGGCCTGCCTCGGCCGCCCACCGCCTTTTGCCAGGGGCCGTGGCCCCCCGGGAGCGCGCAGCTTCGCTGCTCGTCTCGGGGACCTTCCTGGAGCCCACCTAACCAAGGGCTCCCACGAGGGCGCGAAGTTATTCGCGCTTCGCGCTTCGCGGTCCTCGTTCCTTCTCCCCCTACTCCTCGTCCTCCTTTCCTCCCTTTGGGGGGCGGCGCGAGAGCGCGAAGTTGTTCGCGCTTCGCGCTTCGAGGAGCGCGAAGCGCGAAGCTAGGAGCCCTTGCTAACGGATCTGTTCGATCCCAGTTCGACTCAAGTTCGACTCAAGTTCGACTCAGGTTCGACTCAGGTTCGACTCAGGTTCGGCTCAGGTTCGACTCAGGGTCGACCCAAACCGACTGACGTTCGACGCGGCTTCGACGCACGAGTGGAGCGAGTGGCTCCAGGAAGGTCCCCAGAACGAGCATCCAACGGAGCCATAATGGAGGATGACGATTAATGAATGCCCGGGGGTCGTGTTCACGCGGCGGCGCCCGGGCTGGAAAACTATCTCTTTTCATCGTTCTCCTCTGGTCAGGAAGTTAGGCAGGAACAGCAGAAAACTATGTGTTTAATCGTGCTCTCCCATTTTTTAATGAATCGTCATCCCGCATGAATTTGTCCCTACCATCTTGTGTTGAAGTGGGTCCTCGTTCTGAAGAAGAGAGAGAGCGCCCTGCGTCTCGTCTCCTCTCCTCCTCCTCCTCCTCCTCCTCCTTCTTCTTCTTCCTCTTCTCCTTTCCTCCGCCCTCCTCCCCCTTCCTTATTTTTGTTTTCCCCGCATCAGTCCACCGAAGGCACCAGTGGCAAAGTTTGCCTGCGTCTCCCCCGTCCAGTGCAGCGTTTCGTGGCCCATAGGGAGCTCCACCGAAGGACCCAGTGGCAAGGTCGCATACGCCTCCTCCACCCAGCACAGCGTTTCGTGGCCCCATCGGTAGCTCCGAAGGCCTCAGCGGCCGCGTTCGCATGCGGCTCCCCACCCACCGTATGTCCATTTCTGCACACCCCTCTCGCAATCTGGAGCTCCACCGAAGACCCCAGCGGCTGCGTTCGCATGTGCCTCCCCGCCCACTGCAGGTCCGTTTCGGTACACCCCTCACACGCTTCGTGGCCCCATCGGGAGCTCCACCGAAGGCTCCAGCGGCAGGGCTCACATGCGGCTCCCCGCCCACCGCATGTCAATTTCGGCACACCCCTCACACGTTTCGCGCGACACTGGGGAATTCCACCGAAGGCCCCAGTGGCAGGGTTCGCATGCGGCTCCCCGCCTGCCCTATGTCAACTTCGGCACACCCCTCAGACGTTTTCTGGCCCCATCGGGAGCTCCACCGAGGACGATCTGCACAGCGGTAGTACCCGCATGTGCATACAGTTGGTCTCTCGCCAGGATCACTGTTCCGAGGGGTCGTGGCCTCTGGAGTGTGGACCAAGGGCGCCCTCGATGGCGCGAAGTTATTCGCGCTTCGCGCTTCGGCTCCGATTCCTCCTCATCCTCCTCTTCTCCCCTGGGAGGCGGCGCGAGAGCGCGAAGTTATTCGCACTTCGCGCTTCGTGCAGCGCGAAGCGCGAAGTTGGGAGCCTTGGGTGGATCCACGTGTTCTTGTTGGGGGTGGGGGCGGTGCATGCGACGGTCCTCGATTGGAGGGGGGTATTCATTACAGTCGGCCCGGATTCGTAGGTCGACCCTGCCAGCTCAAGGATACCCTTGTGTCCTGCGCCTCGCGACGCGTGCCTTCTTACACTCCTACGGCGATGTGGCCCTCGGAAGGGCCTTGTGTCCTCTCGCGTGTCCTGTCCAATCAAGGCCGACTGTACAAGCTTGCAGACATCCTGCCAGGCAGCACTTGGCATTCCGCCCGTCGCCTCAACGAGCCAGGGGGCACACTGTTCTGCGTCTTGGCGGGGGGTTCTCTTCTCGCCTGCATCGTCTTCCCTTGGGCTCCTGTGGAGCATCCTTAGGCGTCCATGGGGCCACTTTGCGTCGTCGTGGGGCCCCCCTGGGGACCATCTCGGGGCTCATTTGGACAATCTGGGGCCATCTTGGCTGCCTGCGCCGTCGTGTGGCCGTCTTTGGGCCGTCGTGGGGCCATCTTGGGCCGTCGGGCGGCTCTCGACGCCCAGCTTGGGTCCCTCGGGGGGCCCTCTTGGGTTGCCTCGAGGCCGTCTTGGAAGGCTGTGGGGCAATTTTGAAGCCCTCTTGCTCCGTCTTGGAGCCATCGTGGTGACATCCAGGGCCGTCTGGAGCCGAGGGAAGCCCGAACAGGCGAGGACGCCCGAACCCGTCCGACATCGGAGGGAGTACCCTGAACAGCTGCGCACAGTTGCGCGATGGGGGGCCGTGATGCTGGGCCACGATGGGGGGGCAGCTGTCGGGGGCAACGATCGGGGGCAACGAAGGGGGGGGGGGCAGTGACGGGGGTGCCACGACGAGGCACCGATCTCGGGGGCCCGTCGTGGGGGCAACGACGGTGGTGGCCCGCCGTGCCTCGCCCGGGGGCAGCGATGGGGGGGGGGGCAACCGCGCGCAAGCTCGTGCGGACAGGCCGCTCCGAGGAGCTCGACCTCGTCGGGCCCTGCCGGGGCCCTCTTGTGCGGGCCCCTTGGGGCGTCTTGTGGGGGCCTCTCGGGCCGTCTTGAGGCTATCTTGGGCCGCCTGGGGGGCATATTGGGCAATCTCGGCGGCCTTGGTTGTCTGCTTCGGCCATCTTTACAGAGCTGGAGCGTCAGCCCATGCTTGGTTGACGGGGGATCGTGACCCGAGGAGCGTGGACTCTCAGTTTTTTGTGCGAGGGTTCGTGGCCTCGGGATGGAATGCGAGGCATGCGTCAGTCCGTGCTCACCCAGGGGGTGGGCTGTCTCATATTTCACGAACTTTGCCAGGCAGTATTTGGCATTCTACCACGCTGGGCACAGTGGCGGATCTGATTACATCGACGACGATGGCGATGCTGCTGATGATGATGCTGATGATGCTGGTGGTGGTGGTGGTGGTGGTGATGATGATCAGGAGGCATATGACGCTGTTAATGGTACTGCTGATGATGGGGATGCTGTTGTTGATGATGTTGATGATGCGGATGGTGCAGATGATCATGCTGCTGATTATGATGGTGCTGCTTATGATGATACATCTGAGGATGACGATGGTGATGCTGATGGAGATGCTGACGACGATGACAATGCTTCTGGTTATGATGATGGTGATGAGGGTACTGATGATGCTGCCGACGCTGATGACCATGATGATGCTGTTGTTGCTACGGCTCCTATTTCCCACGACGATGTGACGATGATGCGGATGCTGACGCTGATGATGATGATGATGATGATGATGATGCTGATGATGATGATGCTGATGATGATAATGATGATGGTAAAAAGGATGATGTCTTTTCGATGATGATGATGATGATGATGATGATGATGATGATGATGATGCTGGTGCTGCTGCTGCTGATGATTATGATGATGCTGATGATAAGGATGATGCTGTTGCTGCTAAGGCTGGTGATGATGATGCTGACGAGGACGAAGCGGATGATGATGCTGATGCTGATGCTGATGCTGATGCTGATGCTGATGCTGATGCTGATGCTGCTGATGATGGTGCTGCTGCTGAGGATGATGGTTACGGCGATGATGATGTTGATGATGATGATGATGATGACGATGACGATGGTGATGATGACAGCGATGATAACGATGCTGTTGCTGTTGGTGCTGCTGCTGCTGATGATGAGGGAGAGGATGATGAGGAGGGGAAGGAGCAGGAGGACGAGGAGGACCGCGATGACGAGACAACGCTGATGACGATGCCGATGATGGTGACGATGATGATGACGTTGGTTATGATGACGCTGCTGACCATGGTGATCATGGTGTTGATGATGATGACGATGATGATGATGATGATGATGATGATGATGATGACGATGATGATGATGATTATGATTATGATGATGCT